ACTTCATGATGATAAATTCTGATCATGCAAATCAAAGCATTTTAAAACTAGGAAGTGCCAGAAGGGAGCATTATTTAAAAAAAAAAAGTACCATTAAAAGCAATATTTCAGGGGTGCCTGGGTGGCTCAGTCGTTAAGCGTCTTCCTTCAGCTCAGGTCATGATCCCAGGGTCCTGGGATGCAGCCCCGCTTCGGGCTCCCCGCTCAGTGGGAAGCCTGCTTCTCCCTCTCCCACTCCCCCTGCTTGTGTTCCCTCTCTTGCTGTGTCTCTCTGTCAAATAAATAAAATCTTTAAAAAAAAATTTCAATTTTTTTTTTTAATTTTAAGTAATCTCTCCACCTAACATGGGGCTCAAACTTACAAACCCAAGATCAAGAGTCTCATGCTCCACTTGATGGAATGAGCACTGGGTGTTATATGCAGATGATGAGTCATTAAATTCTACCCCTGAAACTAATAATATAGTATATGTTAACTAAACTGAATTTAAATAAAGAATGAAAAAATGTATAGTTTTTGGAACCCAAGCCACCAGGCTGTGGACCATCCAAGCAGGTTCACAGAGAGGTCATGTGTAGGTATTCTGGCCCTGGCTCTGGCCAGAGGTCCCACTGACAGGTGGTATCAACTGCTAGACATATGATGATTCCAGCCTCCAACCACCTTCAAGTCAGCCCAGCTGACTAAGGAAGCAGAGATATACTGTCCTGCTGAGCCTTTCCCAAATTACAAATTTATGAGTAAATTAAATGTTATTGCTTAGGAGAAAAAAAAAGTCTCATGCTCTACCGACCAAGCTAGAGCATTATTTTAATTTTTTAATATTAAAATTGTAATTTTTTTAAAAAGATTTTTTATTTTTTTTTATTAGAGAGAGAGTACAAGCAGGGGGACCAGCAGGCAGAGGGGGAGGGAGAAGCAGGCTCCCCACTCAGCAGGGAGCCCCATGTGGGGCTTGATCCCAGGACCCCAGGATCACGACCTGAGCCAAAGGCAGATGCTTAACCATCTGAGCCACCCAGGCACCCCTAAAATTATAATTTTTTATTTTAAATTTTTATTTAAACATTTTATTTTTACATTTTAAAATTTATCTTAAAATTTTAAATCTACATTTTAAATTTTAAGCCACTGGATGGCTCAGGTGGTTAAGTGGCTGACTCTTGATTTCCGCTCAGGTCATGATCTCAAGGTCTTGGGATGGAGCCCCTCAGTGGGGAATCTGCTGGAGGATTCTCGCTCTCCCTCTGCCTTTGCCCCTCTTCCCATTCTCTCTCTCTAAAATAAATAAATCAATCTTTAATGTTTTATTTTTTAAAGATTTATTTATTTATTTATTTGAGAGAGAGAATGAGATAGAGAGAGAGAGAGCATGAGAGGGGGGAGGGTCAGAGGGAGAAGCAGACTCCCCGCCGAGTAGGGAGCCCGATGCGGGACTCGATCCTGGGACTCCAGGATCATGACCTGAGCCGAAGGCAGTCGCCTAACCAACTGAGCCACCCAGGTGCCCCAATCTTTAATGTTTTAAAATTTTAATGTATTAAAATATCTTTAAATATTTTAAAATTTAAAATTTCTAATGTAAAAAATCAGTGAGAAGTGTTTTAGGCTTAGAGAAGAGAGAGACCAGAGATGATCTGGAGCAGAAGTCAGTAAACTATGGGCACAGGCCAAATCTGGCCCACAGCCAGTTTTGGGGAATAAAATTTTACTGGGAAGACGATCATGTTCATTCATTTGCAAATTGTCTACAGCTGATCTCATGCTGCAAGCAGAGTTGCGTAGTTGTGACAGAGATTGCATAGCCTCCAAAGGAGAAAATACTTACTGTCTGGTCCTGTATAGAGGAAGTTTGCCAAGCCCTGATCCAGACAGCATACCTAGGACCTGAGACTCAGCAGGAGTGGAATGAAAGGTACCACTCATTCCCACATTTTACCCATTTGCTCTCCTGTGACAGTTTCCAAGTTCTCTTCTTCCAAGTTCACAAGCACTTTGCTCAAGACATCCTTTTAAGACCCCTCTTTTTCCAAAACAGCATTCCTTACATTCCCCCAGGTCCCTTGGACTATATGCCCTCACCTGGTATTCCCATGTGACTGTTACTCTGAGGTGCTCAAGGCTGAGTAAGAGGGAACTGCTCCTGCCTGACTACCTTGAGCTGGTACATCAGTCTTTTTTGCATCCTTTGGGCTTGAACTGAAACATCAGGTCTTCTTGGGTCTCAGGCCTGGTGCCTTTCAGACTAGAACTCAGAGCATCAGGTTCCCTGGTTCTCAGGCCTTTGGACTCAGCCTGGAACTACATCATCAGCGTGCCTGGGTCTCCAGCTTGTGGACAGCAGATCTTGGGACTTCTTAGTTTCCACAATCATGTGAACCAATTCCTTCTAGTAAATCTCTTTATATATACACACACACATACACACCCTAATGCCTATGCTTCTCTAGAGAACTCTGACTAATCTAGAATTTATATCGAGAGTGGGGTAGACAGATTTTAGAACCAGGAGTGGGGTGCTGTAACAAAGATCTAAAAATATAAAACTGGCTTTGGAACTGGATAATAAGTAAAGGCTGGAGAGTTTTGAGGAGTATACTAGAACTATGGATGTTGAAGGTGATTCCAGTGAGGACTTAGGAAGAAGAGGTTAAGACAAAGCTTCCATCTTCTTAGAGAATGCATAAATAACCACAGACAGAATCTTACTAAAAATATGGATGTTAAAGGCCATTGTGGAGAGATCTCAAATGGAATGGGGAACATGTTTTTGGAAACTGGAGGAAAGGTGATCCTTGTCATAAAGTGGCAGAGAATTTAGCTGAACTGTGTTCTAGTGCTTCATGGAAGATAGAGCTTGCCAGCAAAAAACTGGATATTTAAATGAGATTTTTTAAGCAAAGTGTTAAAGGAGCGGCTTGGTTCCTCCTGTTTATAGTAAAATGCACAAGGAGAGAGGTGAATTAAAGAAGAAATTGTTAAGCAAAAAGGCAGCAGAACGTGAAGGTTTGGAAAATTCTCAGCCTATCCATATTGCAAAAAAATAAGAAAACTTGGGGTTCCTGGGTAGCACAGTTGGTTGAGCATCCAACTCTTGGTTTCAGCTCAGGTTGTGATCTTGGGGTCATGGGATCAAGCCCTGTGTTGGGCTGTGCACTCGGCATGGAGTCTGCTTCAGACTCTCTCTCTCCCTCTCTCTCTGTTCCTCCCCCCGCCCAACTCTCTCTCAAATAAATAAATCTATTTAAAAAAAAAAAAAGAAAAAGAAAAAGCTTGCTCTGAAGAGAACAGTACAGGTGTAGCCAAACAACCATTTGATAAAGAGATCATGGGTGCAAACCACTTGCGAACCACAGATCTAATCATGTGTCAGTAGAAGCCAGGAACAGGTAAGGGATTATACTGGTGAAACACTGTTAGTTTGAATGAAAAGGGGTGAAGCTGGGACAAAATAAAGGAGTACTGTTGAGCTTCTTGGAATCTATACATAGAACCATAGAGCCATTTGGCTGTGAATATGCGCCAATCTTTAAGAAAAAAGAATGAGTTACCCAAAGGCTGATTCAGAGATCATCAGCCCTGGGGGCAGGCTGGTTCCTCCTCAGTTTCAAAGGTTTGGGCTGCCTCTCTGGTTTCTGTGAGCCAGGACGTGCCCACCCCAGTGCCTCAGGGGCAGGGTCACCCTGCAAACGCATAGGGGTGACAATGCCACCCCAGTAGGCCTGGAGGGCAGAGCACTGAACCAAAGAGGCTTATCCTGGAGGCTTAAGATCCCATGGAATTTGCCTTGTAAGTTTTGGGCTTGCCTTGGACTCGCCACCCCATCCCTCCTCCCTATTTCTCCCTTTTGGAATGGGACCATCTAATCCTGTGCCTGTCCCACCACTGTATTTTACAAGTACATAACTTGTCTGGTTTCACAGGCTCGCAACTGGAGAGGAATTCTGCCTCAGGATTAACTGTACCTCCAATCTCACTATACTTGATTTAGATGATATTTAGTTGAAATTTTGGATCTTAGACTTCAGTTGATGCTGGAATGAGTTAAGACTTTTGGGGACGTTGAGATGGAATGAATGTATTTTGCATGTTAGAAGAGCATGATTTGGGGCAGCCAGCGGCAGAATGTTATGGACTGAATGTCTGTGTCCCCCCAAGTGCACACGTTGAAGCTCTGACTGACAACGTGATGGTATTTGGAGATGAGGCGTTTGAGAGGTAATTAGGGTTTGATGAGATCAAGAAGGTGGGATCCTCTTGACAGCATCTGTTCCCATCCACGTGAAGCCACAGAAAGATGGCAGACATCTGCAAGTCAGGAAGGGAGTCTCACCAGCTCTACTGACACCTGATTGTGGACTTCCAGCCTCTACAAGTATGAGAAATCAATTTCTGTCATTTAAGCTACCCAGTCTATGGTATTTTGTTATGGCGCCAGAGCCGACTAAGACAAGAACTTTTTCTTATCTATTTCATCCCAGACTGTGTGTTCCCCGTAGTTTATGCCGCACCCACCATGGTGCCCGGAGCCAGGACAAACATCCAATCACCCATGACCGCACTTGCTTCCAAATATGAAGACACCTATTTATTCTAACAGCAGTTTTGTTTTTCATTCTAACTCTGCACACACTGTGCATCCCAACCTCAAAGAGCTCTGTGCACAAAGGGCCAAGGTCATGGCCCCAGGAGGGGTTTAAAGGAAGTGAGATCTGCCGAGGCTGGTGCCTTGATGTACTTATTTCCAGGTGATGGTGTTTATGAGGAACTAATGAAGAACTGAATTTCTCTTCATTCAGTCTTCTGAGAACTGGTTTGCTATTTTTGCCTAAAAGAAATTCCTAGACCTTCCAACATGCCCAGTTCCACACTCAGGCATAAAACACCTGCTGTGTTAGGTTCCCCCTGGCTTTGTCCCCTGCTTTGCTGGCAGAGAGACAATCCTGAATTGTTGGACTAAGGACTAGGAAGGACAAAGTTCAGTCCCTGGCTTCCTTACCACCGTTGTCCAGGGCACCTGGGGAATCCTGGTGTAGGTCATTGTTATGTAGATGATGAGGAAGAAGACGGTGAGGACCCAGTAAAATACAGCTACGAACATGACCCAGCCAAACGCAGGGACCCGGAAGTACTCAGTTCCAGCGATCAGTGTCCACACCAGCAGTCCCAGAACCTGTAAAATGGCAGAGGCAGTTTGAAAGAAAACGGAGACACAAGGAGAAAGTAAAGAAGGAAGCAGGGACAGAGAAAAAAAAAACAATTATACAGAGTGTCATTTATAGCATTTGTTCATATTTACACATACACGTGACTTATGAATACAAAACAGGGGTTGCAAACTCACGTGCCCACAAATGCCAGGAAGGTACAAAAGATGAACATGGTAGGCTGAAGAGAGACCAGAAAACAAGAAAAACGGTGTCTTTTGTAAGGGGCAGTCTCTACTCAGCTCCAGCCAACTGCTGTGGGCCAATCTTTTTCTAAGTAAATTCTAGCCCTTAATGTAGGGCTTGAACTCATGACCCCAAGATCCAGAGTCACATGTTCCACTGACTGGGCCAGGCAGGCTCCCCGGTTGTGTGTCAATTTTGCTAGATCTTCCTTTTATTTTTTTTCCCCTCAAGAAAACACAGAAAGTCAAGTTTGTACATGATAATCTTAATTTTTAAATGTTAGCACTAATAACGATTTTTAAAATACTACGAGGGGACGTGCTACACACACCTGTGGCTGAAATTTGCTCACAGGCTGATGCTTGTCAAGGAACAAGACTGCAGGTCCACTTGAGGTGGTCCATGGAACTGATCTGCTCTCAAGGGATGAACCTCTGAGGATTCCCCACCTGCCACCGCTGCCCCTCTCCCCCCGCAGATGGCAAGTAACACATGGCCTGAGAGAGCCTTCAGAAAGGAGAACACACAGGGGCCCAGTGCAGACACCAGCATTCAGCATTTTAACATAAGTTGTGCATTTATTCCAGCAAGAGCCATCCAAATCGTCACTGCTGATGAATAAGACCAAACCCAAAGCCAAATCAATGTCACCAATTGACTAGAGGAAGATTTCATCAGGGGAAAAGAAACTGATCTGAACTGTGCGCATCTTTAGTCCTGAACAAAGGAAGGCCAGAGCAAAGGATGCATCTTGCATTCCAGCACCTTCCAGGGACCAGGACTTTATGCCTAGGTCATGAAAAAGTTAGTATCCAAACCATATCCCCAGGAGTCAGGGCAGGCTCTAGCTGATAAGACTCAGGACAAATAATTCTGTTTTAGCTTTCTTTGTGGCATACGGAACAAATTACTACAGGAATTTTAATCACAAATCTAGGAAGATTGTTTTCACTTATTTGTTTAACCCTTGAAAGCACTAAACTCTGCCAGGCTTCCTGCTATCAGGCCCTAAGGATGGGTGGGGCACACATTGAACAGACCCTCCTGTTCATAACTTAAAGTCTAGTGGGGGGAAATATCTGAATAATTATAATTGTAAAAAATGCTATGAAGGAAATTGAAGGGTATGATATGGGTATATAATAGAGAGATATACCCTTGTTGCAAGCATGGGAAGTGGTCAGGGAAGGCCATGCTGAAGAATACCTTAAGACCCAGTAAGAGCTAGCGAGAGTTAAGCAAGAAGACAGCATGGGCAAAGGTCCAGAGCAGGGAGGGGCTTTGCTGCCTTCTAGAACCTATAAAAAAGAAGTATACTAAGTTAGGACATTGGTGCAAAATGTTAAGAGAGGTCGGGGTGGGTCAGATTATATGGGCCCAGGTGGCCTAAGAATTTTGTACCTTCTCCTAGGCGGGTGACAGGGTTTGAGCAAGAGAGTGATAGGACCAGGGTAAATTTTTAATTTACCTGGTAGGTAAGGTAAATTAGACCCCAAAACCTGACTTTTACTGCTCACCTGCTTGTACCCACTGACCTTTGTCCCATATTCTTCTAAAGCTCTTCTTTCTAGCTTATCTCTTAACTGAGGTAGAAGACCTGATGGGTATAACATCCTGTGATGAAAACTGAAACTACCCCTCAAGAAACAGCGACTGCCCAAAGAGTTCTGGTGGCCCAGACCCCCAGATCAGTTTGAACTTAACCCCCACTCACGCCTCTGCAGAGAGACCATGGAGGGACCCAGGGAATGACTGACAGGTACCTTTACCTCATTATAATACTAAATCTCTGGGCACCTGGGTGGCTTCAGTCCATTAAGCGTCTGCCTTAGGCTCAGGTCATGATCCCAGGGTCCTGGGATTGAGTCCCGCATTGGGCTCCCTGCTCAGTGGGGAGTCTCCTTCTCCCTCGGCCTCTCTCCCCTGCTCATGCTCACTCACATGCTCTCTCTCTCTCTCTCTCACAAAAATAATAAAATCTTTAAAAAAAAAAAAGAAATCTCCACACAAGTTCCAAGGAGGAGCCCAGCCTCATTTATATAACATACAACGTATGTTTAGGCAGGTTTCCTTAAGGTGCATGCGCAGCCTTATGCTCCCCTCTACATGCAATTACAAATCTAAATATTCATCCTAACCCTAAATAAAAGGAACCCGTTCACCCTTGCTCAGGGAGTCACGGCTTTGGGAGGGATTCTCCGTGATCTCATTTGCTGTGTGACAACTCCACCTGGTGTGGTTTCCATCTGAGTCTCACCAAGGAGCAAATGCACGTTAGTTTGGTTACAATACCACTCTGGCTGCTTGGGGAGAACAGGCACGTGGAGGGGAAGAGGGGGTGTGTGGGAGGAGACAAGCTCACAGACTGTCACAATAGTCCTAGTGGGAGAAGATGATGTATTCAAGACCAGGATGGTGGCAGTGAATATTGGGAAGTGAGGGAATTTCAGACACACTTCCAAAGTGGCTGGGCCAGGACTCGAATAGATTTAGTAGGTTAGGATAGAGTGGAAAGCCACGCAGAGTCTCTGGAAAGATGTATGATGCGTACAAGGGCTGTCACTTCCTCACCTGAACAATGAAACAGGACCAGGTGAAGGGGCTGATCTTTACCACAGCTCCTGAGCTCAGTTTTCAACCTACCCAGCCTGAGGTGGCCAGGACCTCCAGATGGGGAAAAGCGGATGCTGCAAGCACAAGGGTGCAGGCCCCTCTTTAAGAAGGAAGACTTACTGTGAGGCCATGAAGCCCTCAGACAGGTTTCCAAGGGACATTGTACACGGCTCACTGCGAGAAGCCCACCTCTCTGCTACAGTTTGGTTGCTGTGCTGGGGAGCACAAAACAGACTCCAAATGTTGCTGCTTCCCCTCTTTAGAGTTGAAAGTTGCTGTTCCTTTTATCTCTTTGATATTGTATATAAATTCCAAAGCAATGCTTAATGGAGATGTGCTTTTATGCTTACATTCGTGGCAGCAGAATTTATCAAAAGTGAAGATGTACAAAATGAGATAGAATTCCAGAAAGTGCTAAGCCTCACACTAATGGGGTTTCGGGCCTGAATTCGTCATAACTGACAGGTAATCTACACACATAGATGTGATACTCATTGGATCAGTGAGACTGGTAGGTAGATGTAATCCAGCACGGTGGGGTCTGAAATAGCATCACGGGGTTCTTGCTTCAAACTGAAAAGGTCAGAATGGCCCTTTTTTGATGATGCACAGAGGAAACATAACTGCTGTGAAACATAACACGGCAAACAGGGTTAGGTCGTTTCCCCAGGGGAACGCAAGGGTTTAAGTCTCCAGCAGGAGTTTGTGTCCGGCTAGACCGGCTCACCTAACAGCTCTTGGCTCTGAATGCGTTTTTCATTATTAAAGCAAGCAGGGTCCACTGTCTAGAGACGCTTTGTCTAATGTGCTAGCAGTGGTCATCTTTTACACAAAGGGACAATATCATTAACTGAGCTATCTCTCAAAGAGCAGGAATACCTGACCCATGACCTCACCAGCAAACACAGTTAAAAGAACGCCCCTGTCAAGAAAAAGGATTCTACCCAAGTGAATTTCCTAGGTAACAGAAATAAGAAGCAAGCCTTTTGTCTCTCACTATAACCAATACTGATGAAAATCACTCTACAAAAATGTTAGTCATCTCCTGCTGGGTGTGTGTGTGTGTTTAAGACAAACTCTAGATCTTTATTTGCTTAAGACAAACTTTAAATCTTTATTTGCTTAGACTACAAAAATACTGTTTGTTTTTTTTCACTGATGAGCATTTTTTTTAGGCTAAGACTTTTTTGAATGGTAAACCTAAGACTTAAAAAAAATTCCCAAAGTGATAAAGGCAGGTAAAAATAAACACAGAAATATAGAAAGTATATAAAAAATATACAAAGAAGCAACAACCCCCATCCACCAGTTGTAAATTCTCAAGAGAAACCAATATAAAAACTTTAAATCTACCTTTCTTAAATTCTTTTCCTTGAATCTGTAACTACCATCTGTACATCCTTTTCTTTCTCTCTTGAAAATATGGATCAAGCTGTACACGGTGCTTATGACTTGCTTCTCTCCATGAACAGTATCATGGGGGACCTCCTTCGTGCTACTACACACCGACCTATGCCAATTTTGACAGTTGCCCAGTTTTCTATAATTCATGTAACAAGTTCCCAATCGAGAGCAATTTAGGTTGTCTCTTTTATGCTTATATAAAAATGCCCAGGGAACATTCTTATAATATATACCTGAATCCCAGGAAGGATCCTGAGAGGCAGAATTTCTAGGCTATTTTAAATGTTAGAGGTACTGCCAACTTACTTATCCAAGCTTTGTACTAATTGTACTAAAGCATGCTTTTCCCTTCGACCCTGAGTTCCCATATTTTAAATAATTTAAAACCTGAATTTAAAAAAAGAGATCTTGGGGCACCTGTCTGGCTCAGTCTGTACAGCATGAGACTCTTGATCTTGGGGTCGTGAGTTCAAGCCCCATGTTGGGTGTAAAGATGACTTAAAAATAAAATCTTAAAAAAAAGAGAGAGAGATCTCACATTTTACCTTGCCCTGCTTCACTGAATTGCAGCATAGAGAAAAACGTACAAATCTGCACTGAACAACTCAATGAATTTTCACGAACTGCACAAACCTTAATAACCAGCATCCACACCAAGAAACGGAAGGTGACCAGTGCCTGGAGGCTCCATTCTCACTTCTGGTCACTCCTTCCCTCATCTAAGGGTAACAATCGTCCTGATTCCCACAGTCTAGATTAGTGT